AAAGGTCCTGGGTTCACATCTTGGGGGTGCCAACCCTCGAGATGGGGTATGACTGGCTGATGACGGCTAATAAGCCAGAAACGGCCATTCCGGTCTCCCCTTGCTTAGTCGGATCAGCTGCATCAGACCAATCATATTGTGTCTTCATGGGCCTGGCCTCTGTGTCCTGGCCGCAAAGTGTGACCTTTAAGGCGCCCACACAAATGCGCGCTCTCTTGGGTGTGGGTTGACCGACAGCGTGACCTGAGAGTTCACCCAGGTCGCTTGGTAGGAATAATCCTAACAACTTGGACCTGGGTATGACTGCCTGAGGCAGGCTAATAACCCAGAAAATGTCATTCAAGTCTCCCTTGTCTGTGTAGGTAATAATATCAGCCTACACTACTAGCCATTAGGGCTTTTACGGCCCCTGTCGAGACCATAGGCAAAGGAAGAAAGGTAATTTCCGTCAGCGGTCGGGTGAACGTTCATCCATGGGATTTCGGAATTGCAAACTCCCAGGTGGTCCTGATGGATCTTATTTGGAAAAATCAACTGAAAGTGGCGCACAAACCGATGGCCACTTTCCGCACCCAGCTAGTACACACTAAGAGTAGGGTTGGCTAACTCGATAAGAAAGAAGTCATCTACAAAATCCCACGAGAAGCTTGTGAGCCGGTGTATTGTAGCCAAACAGGAATATCCATCCCCACACGCTACACGCGCACCGACTGGCAGTGAAATGACGTGACCATGTGTCCTGAGAGTTCCCTCGGGCCACTCGTTAGGAATAATCATAATAGATGCCCTAATTCCAACATTTACAACAATCTACATGAAGTAACTGAAACTCCAATAGTAACACAGTCACCATGAATTTAACCGAAGACCGCGTATAATACGCGGGATGAATACATACTGCCCTGACACATCTCAACCAATGTAGTTACATACAGTGTCGTAATATTAATATCACGGCTTCGTAGACTTATTTGAAACCAATCTCATCAGATTCTACCGCTGAAAATCGGCGATGATTTTTTGTTCAGAAGAGAAATTCGACACTGGCTCGCCAGGTTGTCGTCAGGTAGATGAGAGTTGTACAAAACAGTTAATTCAAAAGGATGGCAAATACAAAATTATAAAATGGGTCGAAGTATTAGTAGATAATCGTCCCCCGCATGTGATTATGCGGTCAGTGGAAAAAAAATTGTCACTTACATCTTATTATGCGGTGGGTCAGGAAATAGCCGTCGCTTGCATTTATTCGTGCGGCCGGTCTTTTGCTTCATCTACTCGGGATAGGCCCCCATCTTCTCTAGGCTTCCCTGACGTTGGTGTACAAAGCGTGCACTTCGGCGTGCCTGTTGATGCACGAGTCATCAGAGTTGATGGCACCTTGAGACTCACGGTCTTTCTTTCAGAAGCAGTAGCCAACAATGTACGTTTTATCCCATGCAAAATTGTTGTCCAATTACTAATGGTGATTTGTACAAGTGATATCACCTCTTTACTGCTCGTTGGTGTTCGCTTGAGCGTTTGTAGGCTGATCTTCCTGTCCATCCACAATAAACGGCATTGCGCCTGCCACAAGGAATCTTGTAAATGACTTCTTTTCTTCTTATTGATTTTCCTACGGACTTTCGCTGTTAGTTGTTAGCCTTTTTGGCCCATTCACTTTTTCTTTACGTCTGAAGACGAAGCGGGGCTCCAGCTTCGAAAATTCACCGAATAAACCCATCTTTTCCAAAGTGCTTTCTCTACATAATTAGACTTCTTTTCTGTCCAAATAGCCAACCCTGGCCATAAGGTGTACAAGCTGATTTCGCAGTATAGTCTTTGGTTTGTACGAACTCTGATTTAATGCCTCCTCAGGTGTCCTTCAACCAGTTCCCGGAAGTGTCCGCCGACTTCTTGGATTGGACGCCTGATCGGGACCATTTAGTTCCTTTTATTTTTGTTTTAACTGCTGCCGTATCATGCATCAACGAACCGATTCGCTGGGATAACCATTTTCAAAAAATAGTTTGGAAATGTAATTCACACAACAAACTATCACTTCCCAAAAGACAACTTCTAACGAATTTCTACATCTTCGAATGCTGATTTTCCAGTTCATAATCTTTTGCATTTTTTAGAAGTCATCAGTTTACTTTTAAAATTAACGCGAATCATCGTGAGTATAACGGTCATTCACTTTCTGCGGTTGCATCTCCCTTACTATGTACTTTACCACTAATTTCAGACGGACACTGTGATCCAGTGTCGCCTATGTGGTTTCGT